CCAAAAATTCGCTGTTTTCGACGTTAAAATTAAGCTTTTTGTTGAAAAATCGAGAACCCTCTTTGTTAGGAAATAATTAGCATATGCCGGAAGTTGCGGTAGCCTATATAATGGCGTAGAGAGCGGGCGTTTCTCATTTTTGTCATAGAAAAGCGCGAGAATTATGCAAAGTGACGAATATCATGGGATCAGACGGGGCCAGGGTTGAAAAGTCGCGAAGCGGCTTTTCAACCCTGGTTTTTATTTAATTCATGAAATGAAATAAATAAAAATAATGAAAGGCAAAATCATTCCGAGATTTATAAACGATCTTGAACCACTCCGCAAGAAATCGATCACAACGCGATTTTTTATTTGGATTTTGCGCACATAAACAAAGAAATAAGATTGCAAAGCATTTTGGAACATTCAGAACCCATTTTGCTACGATTAAATCAAATCTGGGCCTTTCAATCGTTAAAGACCCCAATCTCAACCCCCCTCAGAACTCTGCTCACCATATACCCCTTCTTACGTCGCCGAAGTATTGGGGAAACCCGGCCACACGCGTAGAAATGCGATCACCATGAGAACCTGCTATTCCTAGCCCAATCATTTTCTAAAATTCGACTCCCCTGCCGAGTTCGAATTGTTAGAGATGCCCGGGGTGCGGAGCCATAAACCTCGGTCGTTTTATTGTGTTTTCGAGATTTGCCCACAATTAAGTCTGGGATTTATGTATTACATGCGTTTTCGAAGGATCGGCTCCTGAGCCGCTAAGCTCAGGGGTTTTAGGGGAGGAGATGGCGATTTGATTGAATGATTTAAAATTGAATAGATGGAGGGAATAAGAACATTAGAGTTCTTGTATTTTGCTAGTCAAGTAGCCGTAGTCAACCCTGTCGTATCATTAAAGAATTGTCACGTTTTGATAAAGTTATAGGTAAACCAGCCGATTACAGCCGCGTCGCGGCTGTAATCGGCTGGCCTTCGGGCTACCTTCCATATTCTACACCACCACATTCCTTCTCTAACTTTATCAATATCCGTGCTGATGGCTTTAAATACCTCCCCTAGCCGAAATCCCCTTAAAAAACTACTCCGATAGCTTCCTGAGGGCTTCAGATAGCTCCCATACCCGAAAAATCCTTCAAAAACTCCTTAGATACGTTCCTGATGGCTTCAGATACCCCCCCCATAGCTGAAATCCCCATCAAAAAGCACTTAAATAGCTTCCGGAAGGCTTTAAATACCTCCCCTAGCCGAAATCCCCTTAAAAAACTACTCCGATAGCTTCCTGAGGGCTTCAGATACCCCCATAGTCGAAACCCCCTTAAAAATACCTTCCGGAAGGCTTTAAATACCTCCCCTAGCCGAAATCCCCTTAAAAAACTACTCCGATAGCTTCCTGAGGGCTTCAGATACCCCCATAGTCGAAACCCCCTTAAAAATACCTTCCGGAAGGCTTTAAATACCTGCCCTAGCCGAAATCCCCTTAAAAAACTACTTCGGTACCTTCCTGAGGGCTTCAGATACCCCCATAGCCGAAAAGTCCTTAAAATACCTTAACCTGATGGCTTCAGATACTCCCCATGGCTGAAATCCCCTTCAAAAACTACCTAAATACCTTCCCGATGGCTTCAGATACCCCCCATGGCCGAAATCCCCTTCAAAAACTACCAAAATACCTTCCTGATGGCTTCAGATACCCCCATGGCTGAAATCCCCTTCAAAAACTACCAAAATACCTTCCCGATGGCTTCAGATACCCCCCATGGCTGAAATCCCCTTCAAAAACTACCAAAATACCTTCCCGATGGCTTCAGATACCCCCCATGGCTGAAATCCCTTAAAACTACCAAAATACCTTCCCGATGGCTTCAGATACCCCCCATGGCTGAAATCCCCTTCAAAAACTACCAAAATACCTGCCTGGTGGCTTCAGATACCCCCCATAGCCGAAATCCCCTTCAAAAACTACTTAGATTCCATAGCGATATTTTAAATGATTTAAATAAAGAATTAAAATAATTAAAAAGTATTAAAAAGTATTAAAGTAACTCAAAAAAGGAAGGGCCTTGGGGAAGAGGGGCGAAGAGAAAGGGGGCGTGGCCTCCCGGGAAAGGGGCCCCCACTCGTTTTGTTAAGGCGCCACTTTCAAAGTTAATTTTAATAATTTAAACAAAAACTTTTTTATAATGTTTGGATCATTTAAGGGGTTTCTGACCGCGCTCTATCCGAATCCGAAGAGACCTAAGCTCTAGCTCCTTTCCCCTTCGAGTTATAGTTGGCTTCAGACAGACTGACTGACAGACTGACTGACGGACACCACACCAAAATTATTATAGTTGATACGATCCCAAAAAAGGGTCCCGCAAACTAGAAAACAAAAAAATAGAAAATCGTAGATTTCTTGATGCAAATGACTTCGTGATAGTAGTCTCCAGGAAATGTGTCCTAAGCCAGCAAATTTCTAATAATTTGTAACCGAACCTTTTTTCGACCAGACATCCTGCTGATCGATTCTCACTCCCAAATTCCGCCCTGCTCAGCTGAGCATAAGCTTCTGAATCCCTCGACTTTGCCCCCCATCACACGGAAATCACGATTCCCATCGGCTCATATGCGATGCTCCCGAAGTGTGCTGTTCCGAGAAATGTCGAGTAGTGGCTACTCCCATGCGCTCTATCCCTTCACACATCGAATGCCTATTCAGTTTCTCTCCCTCCACTTCCCTCACCAATAAACATTTGTAGCCTCGGGCCGCCAGAGCCACCCGCCATATTCGGTTTCAACCCAAATAAAACCCAACCTCAGTACACCTTTTTTATTAGGTACCCCCCCCCCCATCCACTTCAGCTTCTGCCAAAAAATAATATTGGCCCCTCCAGCGTTCCGGGCCATAGTTGACCACTGAAATATTCAAGAGAACGTCCCATTCTTTGGCGGTGTTCTGTCCTTTGAATTTTGGATATGCATCGCTATCTTGGAAAAATCGGACGCAATTGATTTTTTGGCAGCATTTATGTGATACTTTGTGACGGTTGACCACTAGAAAACATGGCAAGTACCAGGAAATCTTACATTTTTCATAATTGAAGATGCGCGGGGAGGGGGAGTGGCTTTATTGAAGGCCGTCTAATCCTCATAAAACCAGCGGTGAAAATAGTCTGAGAATGTAGTGAACACATAATATTTTTCGTTACATGGGATTTGTCGCTAGTAAAACCTTCGGCATGCATTCACTTTCCTTAAAAACTTGTTTTCTGGCTTTGAGATTTTTTTGCGAACTTGGCAGTCACCTCTTTTTGGAACCTAGGTGGCTGCGTTAAAATCAGCATATCTGCCGAAATTTTAGAAAAAAGCATTACGAAAAATCTATTTTTTTTTAAAATCAACTGAATCCAGATCATTCGTACCTCAAATTTCTGAATTTCTTTTAACTCAGCATTCCTTCCATCGTTCGCAACCCAAAACGCATTACCCGCGCTCTCCTTTGTCCCCACCTTTTTCATATACTAGAGAATGACGCTAATTTCCCTTTCCATCTGAGCCACATGCATCCCAAAAAAAACAAAAGCGCGACGTGTGGCCCAGCGATTCTTGGTGGCGTAGTATTCGGTTTGTGGCTTCAGGATTCGCATTCAAGACTGCGCCTCCATTGGGCCAATTAGGCGCGATGCCCGAGGCGTGCTCCCTTGAATTTTCCTTATCCGTCGGATGCCCTATTTCCTAAATACTTGATGGCGCGTTGCACCTCGACATCGACGAGTGGGACTCTGTGTGTACGGCTTTTCATGTTTTTTTTCATTATTTAAGGACTCGTCGTGACTATGGACTAGGGTTTTAGAAGACTGTTTCTATCCAATTTTTACCGAAACGCCAGAAATCTTGCATTTTCGAGGCCATTAGTGCGTTAACTATGTTTTAAAGTATTTTCTTTTTGTCAGTCTCAGATTCATTTAGCTAATTGATTTTTTAGCTTCATTTCTTCAGCTTGACGTCAATTATGATAGGGAACCAGCCTGTTTTATCGTACCTATGGCAATTTCCGAATAGCGTCCGGCTCTACATAAATTTAAAGTCCAGAAAATCCAAAAACCTTTAGTCCTTTTCAACACTATACCCCCCCCCCCCGCTAGTGAAGCAGCACCCCATTGAAGGCATCTTCCATCCAAATCTCACAAGATTCCACACAAAAATCCGGTTTTTTTTCTGATTCCCGATAATCCAAAAAGGCTTCCCTGATCCTAACGCTATCGATTCCCCCGTGGATCCTATCCTAAGCCCCCCACCTGGAGCAGCTTTTCTTCCCCCAGATGAACGGGAAGCCTGTCAAAGGCGGATAATTATTGAGGGGCCGTCTCCATTGTTTTGTGGTGGCCGTAGTTCTTCCGTCTTTTCTGTTTTCACCTCTCCGGTGCATGAATCTCAAGTCAGCCCGGAGAAAGGAGTGGCACAGGGGCGGTGTGCGATATAATCCCGTCGTGTCTCCCTATTGAATGCCAATCTGAGAGCCGTACAAATTTCATTACTTTCTCACCCCGCGGCTCTCCTCTTTTCCAACGTCCCCCGTTGAGCCGCCACCCATTCCAATTTTTGACTTTTTCTCCGCGCCGTGCTGGCCCTAATGGATCTGGGCAGGTTTTGTTGAGTGGATAGTTGCTTTTTTTTGGAGCTGTGGTGTCTTGGATGGAGTTTAATCTCAAAGAAATCGTACTGTAACTTTGGTATTTGCACTTTTTGCCCTCTACTAGACTCTTCACAGCGAACATCTACTATTACGAAATTTCTAGCGCTAGGTAATCAAACACCAGTCCTCAAAAATTCCCCAGCCAGCCAAATCAATATTTTCCGATTTTCTTTTCGAGCTTACCAGCCGCTTTCCCATCGGCTACAATCCCAACATACCACTCATTCAAACACCTAGCCACACTCAGCCGTCTACCTTATCCCAATTTCTATCTTATTTTCTTCCTTACCTTTATCCTCTTCTCAATTCTCCTTAATCCGATGGTGTTATGACGGACATTGAAGGGACCTCACAGCTGGGCCACGACAACATGAAGGGCCGCAGCACGGAGCTGATCCCGTTACGGGATCAATATTCCTCCTCATTACCGACCAGCTCGAGTCCGGCGGGCAGCCCGGTTGGCCCACCACCATTGAGAGGCCGCCGATCTGAGGAATCGGGGGTTTGGATGGGCCCTGAGCCACATCTTGCCAGTACTCCGGGAGGTTCACCGACACAACACAGACTCCGTGAACCGCTCGTGCAGAAACGCCGTGACAGCTCGTTTCAGGAAGTGGGTGATGGAAAATTGAGGGTTGGAATTACTCGCGAGTGTTTTGAGGTGTTGCAAGTAGCTCGAACTATCATTCATTTTCAATAACATCGTTGCGCTTTTCGTGATCAAAAATATTTCACAGCGTATGAATGACGTTTACGTTTTTGCACAGTGTCTCGTAAATTAAAGATATTAAGAAAACCCTGGGAGTTTGTAAGGAAGCTTTTTCTAGCCCGCTCAAACAGTTAATTTTGGCAGCTCTTTGAGGTGTTAAAAATTTGAAGTATCATGACCCTAATCATTAATAAAAATTAATAAAAATAACCCACAACAACCTATCCGACTATCCCCAACCCTAAAATATCCACCGTTTAGGACGCCAAGTGTACGGCGTTCGAAGAGGTAACCCCCACTTACAAATCGCACAACAACTAGGGGTCCACGGCACAAACAGTGTTTCTTATTTTTATTTTTGAGGCTTTTTGGTAAAGCTGGTGTACAAGTTGTTTGAAGGTACGTATAAAAAATGTTAATGCCGTTTTTTAGGTCAGCGCCGACTTCTTGAGGCTGAACGGTTCGCGGCAACAATTCCGGAACCTGCTGTCTGCACGAAAAAAGCTGGGGCAGATGCCACCAGCTTATACGAGAGTCGACTGTTCAAGGGATTCGTTAGATAGTCAACGTGAGTATTTTAAGTAGAAAATTTGCCAGTAAACAGTCACAAAACAATAAGGGACTTAATGAAGGTATCTAGGTAGCTATCAATTATACAGTTCAGCAGAACCCGGACACAATTTAAAACCTGAGTAAACCATTATCAAATGAATAAAGGGAAAGATATTAAATCATGGTTTAGGACGATCCGAACAAACTGCTTTTTCCATAAACCCCTTTACAAATTAGCCTTATCATCACTCAAAACCACACCCCTCATTAACATAACCAAAACAATCCGTCCATCCATCCTCCCCGTCCGATATTCCCTACCCTAAATTACACCTCCTCTCTCATCTTTGACCCAGCCAGCCAGCACTTTTTTCGGCCTGCTTCCCCTCTCAGGAAAAGCCTAGAGGGTCGTATCTCTTTCTAGACAAAAATCTCATGTTACAACGACTTTTCCCCTCCAGAGCCCCCTACCGCGCGTGAGCTTCAGCTTCTACTAGGTGCTCGCACCCACTAAGTTCTTCATCCTAAACTAGACCAAAGGCTAGTGGCCTCACAAAAACTTGCAAGTATGCAATGAGTCCAGCTAGGGCCTAGTGTAGCTTGCTCACATTGGCTTTGCGCCAATGGGCCCCAAATTTGCCAATTAGAGGCCGAAGGGTCCAAGGCATTTGCCTTCAACACTCAGCGCTTTTTCGCTCTCTTTTTTATCTATCATCCACTTTTCTAATCTCATCTTAAATTATACTTCTTTGATTCGTGCCGTTCTCAAATCGATACCAAAATCCCCGCTGAATCAGTGAGAACATGTCGAATTTCGCCACAACTCAATTTGTGAATTCACACGGATCCACTCTATCCCTGCGAACGGTTTTTGAGAGCGTGAATTGTTTTTGCTCTCATTTGGCTAAAAAGCTACTTGGTCTGACGATAGCTAGAATACCGTATGCCCTTGGATGCCCCTGCGCGGTTTGGAGCGGCTGTTCCGCTCCGGTGACTTTTTGCTGATCGACCAGGAAGACACCGGTAAATATAAAACACAAAAATCCTAAAAACATAGAAGTAAAAATAGAACCTTGATCCATGTTGTGGTTGTAGAAGAATAATTCTGATTTAGCCCTCCGCCCACCCCACCATGGCCCCGTCATCACCGTCGAAGATACCGGCTCCCAGCTCAAAATCAACAGAGGCAAGACTTCCATCACGTCGTCGATTCTTGACTCGACCAAGTCCTCATTTGATAAAGGTATCTGATAATTTTAGATTCAAGAAAGATAAGATTTTCCAGGGAACATCACCTTTGTCGAGACCGGCAACGGTTCGGCTCAGCATAGCAGTAATCACTCGAATTTTAATCTACGCCGAAATAACAGTAGGTAGGTAGTATATTTACCTTGTGGATCTTGAATCTCAAGCCTACCTTCATATGTTGTTTTAGATACGGTGTGCCGGTAAATAGCAGTGCCGTTAAACTGATCTATCGAGTAAGGGCAGAACGGTAAGGTTTTCAAAACTGTTGCTAATATTTCTTAAGGCTTAATAACCGAGTCCGTATCGTTGATCGTGCTTTATTCTTGGCCATGATTGGCGTGGTACTGATGATCGCGGATTCTGAAGTGACTGGGCAACGATTATTCAATTTAACGAAGGTATGAAAAATCCCCGAGGCAATGGGTAAAATATTTCTAGGACTCCCTTCCTTCCCTGATCTGTCGCGGCTTTGTTGTGATGAGTACGATCGCCTTGCTCTATCAAATTGTGTTATATCATATTAATGAAATTGTGGTAGGTTAAAATATCAGATACGTTTCATTTTTCTATTAGTTGGATCTGGTGGACTGTGGGGCTGATGATTGGCGGGTGGTGATGACGACGTGGCGGATTATGCAATTTATTTTGGAATTTACTGTATGCGCAATATGTCCAATACCAGGTTTTCCTATTTTAAAATGTATTGTAGTATTTTTTAGGAACCGGTGAAATGTCGTGGGCTTATATTGAGACGAGGACACCTGTGCTTTATTCGAATAATAATACTCAGGTAAATAATATTGAAATTAGTATATATTCTTTTTTAAAGCGAAAACAAGCGGATAGCTTTTCAATGAGAGACGTACCAGTTGATGTTCTACTTTCGTTACTGATGCTTTTCCGTTTTTACCTGGTCGCCCGTTTTATGGTGCTTCATAGCAAGCAATTCCAGGTTCGTGTATTCCGTCGCGCCATCGTAAATTATCTGCTTTAGGATGCCTCCACTCGTACGCTGGCAGCCTTGAACCGGATCCAAGTCAACTTTTCGTTCGTCATGAAAACATTACTCGACCAGCAGCCGATATATTTCCTTACCGGCTTCACCCTGGTCTTTTGGATTTTGACCTCTTGGACTTTTGTGCAATGCGAGAGGTATGTTTTACTCTTATTTCAGGGGCTACATTTTCACGTTGGTGATTTGAGATAGAAAATACCTTATATTGTGCTGAATTATCTGCTATTTTCGAACCTCTTTTAGAATGTGCAAAAAATCTTGATTTTTCCGGAAGTTGCTTCACATGCATAATGCGTCACAAAACTTTTGTTTTCTCCCTTACTAGCTTGACGGAATTTCATATGTTAACCTTTCCCGCAATTTTTTGCTTGAAACGCGGCGTAACTTCTGAAATAAGGGTTCTTCTCCAAATTCTAAATACAGCTTCGGAACCAGCAACAAATTCTGCACAAGATAAGTATGGTCTTGTCAAAAATGCCCAACATGAAGATGCTTGACAAGACACTTTCATTTGGATATAAACTCCAGATATGGTGACCGCTCGGACAAAGATGCTCCATCGATCATGTACTCGAATGCTCTTTGGTTCATTGGTACGTTGCCAATGCTTTCAGCCTAAAAGTCGACCCAGCTTCGGGGTCACGAGTGCATAGTGCGCGGGGGAAATTTGATCGCGTTGCTCGCGACGGCTGCTGGTCACGGCTTCTGGCAAAAAGAAACTTTGTGTTGCAGCGATCACGTTCATGCTCAATGGGTATGGAGATATTGTGCCGCAGACGCACGCTGGAAGGATTATTGCAATATTTGTTGGCGTTGTGGTGAGGCGATATTGGTTTTTGGGTAGTTTGGAGCATTAATGATGCATTTTAACATTATAGCATTTTTTAGCAAAGCGTTAAGTAGCAATACTTCACGCTAATGTAATATTATGTGGAAAATTATTGAGCAGAAATTTCGGTGACCAAAAATTCTTTGGACCAAAATTCATTTTACCGAAAAACTCCAAAAACTGGACCTCGAAAAGGCCTCTAAAACCTCAGAAATTCTTCGCTATAACGAAAATTACGGGTTTTGAATTTTAGCCTAGTGAATTCGTGGTATAATGGATGTCCATTAATGAGGGGTGCCGCTTTACCCCTCAAAGCTAAACCTCGGATTTTCAGGGAGCAATCATCTCATCGATCCTAATCGCCGTCATATCCCGGAACATCCTTCTCTCCCAGGGCCAACGCAACGTCAACAATTTCATGAACGACTCGAAATTGACGCGTGAACACAAGAATGCTGCAGCCAGGGTACGGTTTTTATAACTTCGTTAAAACCTTCACTTTCTAGGTGCTCCAACACACTTGGCACATCCATAAATGCCTTCAATCGAGCGAACCAAGCGCTGATCGGCAGTTGCGATTTTATCAACGGAGATTTTTGCATGCCATTCACAGGTCAGAGGTTATCAGTGTTACACATTAATCAAAATTAGATACATATATAGATGACTATTGGTGTAAAATATTAATAAGAAAATAATAATAAAATAGTAAAGTTAATTAGTAAATGTTCTTCGATATCTAACAACAATACTCGATCAAAAATCACCTCTCCAGATTCCGCTCCATCAAAAATGAGATCCGCGTCTTCGGTGAGAATAACTCGGCGAACACTCAGCAAGTGACAAGGGTAACCGAATTTTCTATATATTTTTGTTATTAATCAAATTAATCAGCTGGTGGCGGAGATGCACAGCTCGATGCAGAAGCTGCTCTCAGCCCATGAGGAGATGCGGGCACAAATCGAGGTCCTGCAACGCGCCGTCCGCAACCACTATGCGCATCATGGGAATTGTTCATCACGGTATGGTAATTAATATAATGGAATTTAAAATTGCACTTCAAATGTCATGACTTTCGGAGATATTTCAAACCCTGCAAGCTACTGTCTCCATATTTCGAAAATCCAATCAACTTTTTGATATTCAATGTCACCCCCTAATTTCCCGGTATCTTACAATTCCGTTAAAGGTCTGTCAAATGGTAGAACAAACCTCTGGTAAGTCCCCCACCTTGTCGCGTATTTTACAATTTTGCGCTTTTCACACACTTTATTTTGCCTTCCGGCCACTGGCTTTTGCTGCAAAATCCCGCTTTTCAGACACAGGCACTTCCGCAAAAAATGTGCATAGGAAACATGCGTTGCGGAAAAATTTAGCATTTGTGTTGGGATTGGCTTATTCTTGACTTTTCTTTGAGGCTAGAACAAAGGGGGTTTGCTGAAAATTGTTCCCTTCCGTCGGCTCTGAGGCTGGCATTCTATGGGTGCGTTATTATTGAGCTTGAACTTTAATGATGGGTTGAAACCACAAAATGAGAGGTAGAGTGGATTTAGAGGGGCTTGAAATATAGTCCCGGCCCAGCTTGCATTAAACATTATACAAAGCGCGCAGTAACCTACAGATCTAAACAAGAAATAATTAGGTTATTTTTTTAATATTTGTATTTATTGTTGTAAGAATCTTTAAAAGCGTAAAGGCTTCACTTCCGCTCCCACCTTCGACAGTCATTTTATTATTTTGGCTGTCTTTCCAAGTGTGCTTCGCTTTCAGTGTCGTGTACTTCGAAGAAAACCCTGGGGGAGTCTATGGAGACCACCGAACAACATTATTCACAACACCCGTAAGTCTGTCCATTTCAAAGCACAGCTTTCAATGTATATTTTTTATAAAAAAATAAGACAAAACTAATAATGAAATTTGCTTTGCAGGGCCTCCAGTGGAGGAAGCCCCGGCCGTTCGGATAGTTATTCTCGTCGCGCTCGCCGAGCATTCACCATTGACTCGCATTAAACCCATTATTAATAACCTCACTCTTTCATATTCCATTCGTCACTTCCAACCCCCCTAGCATCCCTTCTCTATCTCTTATACTCTCTCCCTTCTCTCCAACAAACATTGTGATATCGTGAAAGAGGCTGAAGATCTCTGTTCCAATCTGTAGTGTATATCGGGTATAAGATGGAATAAAGAGTTTATCATGGAAAACAAGAGGATACCCGTAGCTGGACACTAACAAATGGTTGAAAGTATAAATTAAAACATTCCCGGTGGTAGTGCGCCTACAAATTTGTAGTCGATGTATAAACATGAGTTGACTATGGAGACGGTACAGCCTTCGTTCTTTGCTTTTCGGATGATTCTTAAAGAGATACTTGCAGATATTGATATCAAGAGATTTAACCGTATTTTTCTTTGGTTCTAAAAACGCCTGCTTACTGTACTCTATCGATTGCTATTTTTAGGCTATCGAAAACATCGAAAATCGTTTAGAAATAAAACAGACAAATAATATATAAATTTTCGTTTTGAAATGCGTTCTATTAATTTCCTTAGTATATTTTTCAAGCCCTGTCGGCTAAAATTCCTAAAATTGGTGGCGTCTTCCGCAACCTTAAAATCGTATCAACGATACGCTCCTTAATCTTCAAAAAGCGCACTTATCTGAACCAAAAATATCTAGCTATACGACGGTATTTTATCATCATGATGCCAAACGTCACCTATTTTTAGAACCTCTAGTTTCTACCCCCCGAGCATATTCTGCGTTCCCCATTTCCAAATCAACTTACTTTTGCGCCATATCGTATTCTAATTGGTCGTTGAATGGGCTGCCCAACGAAATGAATGCCGCAGCCTTATTTGCCTAAAATGGGATTGGGTTTTTGGTTTTCTAATATATAATGGTACTACCTGGAGCATAGCCACCGCCAAATGGGCATTCGTTATGTTCTTGCCGAGTACCACGCTTTCTTTATGAAGTAGGGGGCGTTTCATTGAATTTTGCAGGTCGGGATAGATTTCTAAGATTGGTAATGTCGGCTTTACAACGATTTAAGTTGATTTGTATAAATTTAACTAAAAAATGTCAGGTTAAATGTTTTAATGTCACCTCCCGATAGTTTGTTACACCTTAAATAAAAACCAAAGAGATCATTTGGCTTACGGCGCGCTAATTGTATATCCGCTCCAAGAAATTACACCTAACACCCAATAAAAATTCTCGATCTTCAACCCCCATTCACTCGCCACAAAAATAATTAACCCACCGCTCACTGCTTCGTTTTTCACTAATTGCGTCGAATATTCCTCTGACGAGAATATACAGCCCATAAACGCTGCCTGCAAAATAGAAGCTATTCAAAACCAATGTCAGCAAAGGAGTTCCTTGGCCCGTGAAGCTGGGCAAGGGCCAAAAAGATTGCCCAAAAATTGGATGCAAATTGGGGGCAAATGCGGCAGATGCGAACAGAAAAGCGAAGAGTTCTTGCTGCCCATCCGGAAAACAGCGTTAGATTTAGGAGAAAACGCGAAAATAGGCAATGGGTTGGCGCGAAAGGCTGCTTCTTCCGTTTTGGCCGGCAAGAAAAAGCAGGTGCGAAATGAGGAAAAACGGGTGGTTGAGTAAATTTAGGGTGCAGTTGGGTGGAAGGGAAGGGGTTGGGGGTTATTAAAAACGGGTCGATCTGGGTTATTAGTTTAGCAGCTGGTATGTCTGGGGTCAGCATGTTCCATGCGACGCCGCGTTTTCGGTGCTATTTTAGTGCGCACGGAGTGCTAGACAATTTTCGCATTGAAAAAGCATCCTAAAAATCCATAAAGGTGGTTAGGATGTTTTCAATAGCTCGGAATTCAGAACTCAAAAGTTCCGGTTGAAACTGAAACCCCACTCCCTCATCAGGTGCAAGCAACCACTCTACCACGTGCACATCCGGGTTATGCAAAGTGACCCATTCTCAAGGAGTTCACCGCCACTTCCAAGTACCCCCAAAACCCAAAAGCCCTCAGGTCAAAATGACCCCTGCCACCACAACATACTGACCCGGAACCATGGTTGTCATGGTCTATTTTCTCAAATCTCAACCCTCGCCCCCCTTCAAATGCGATTACCACAAAAAGCGAGGACATGCCTAACTGGCTTAGCTAGTGACTCCGCATGATGTCGACCAGGAGAGAGAAACCCGAAAAAAATGCAGCAGAAATCATTAAAAGGATTTGTCGGGGGTGGTAATCGGTAATACGGGGTCTCCGGGGATTTGGAGATCGAAGAGACAGCCACGACAAAAGGACAGAAATGGAAAAGACATGGTGAAGATCGATGAAAGTTTGTGAGGCGGCTACTCCATTCCGGGTGGCCTATAGGGGGGGGTAATGGAGCCCGGTTTCCGATTCCTGGATGGGGGTGGTTGGGGCCGAGGCACAGCCTTATTTTTTATACATATCCCTTATTTTTGTGGCGAATTGGAAAGCAATGGGATGGGGAGGGCAGGAGGAAGAGGAAAGGGAATGGAACTCTTGTTATACCGGTCAACAACCAAGTAAAAAGCAAGCTTTTGTAGGGAGTAATAGGATCTGTTGTTTTCCAAAACTGCGAAGTCACGGATATTTACGAAATTCGGCTATAAAATCGTGTTGTACATGAAAAAGAACGTCAACATTTCTGAATTTACCCGAAATGGAAATCCCCATTTTTCTTAAAAAAGGGTAAAAATAGGATTGCGGGGCGTCTACCGCTAAAAAGCTGCGTGTTGATAAAAATGGCATACATGGTTATTTGGGAATTATAAAAAAGCGCCTAATATATTTTTGATGTTTGATCCAACAGCTGTTTGAAATGCTAAAAGAAAAATCATTTAAATCAAACTAAAAAGGCCGAAACCACTAAGAATCTACTTCTCTCGCACGTATAATCATTTTTTCTTAATGAGTAAGAATTTTTAGCTACATTTTTCGCTGCAGAAAATCATACCCGGACTACATTTTCTATGTTTTATTGTATGGCATTATCAAAATTATACAGTAACTGAAATAATTGGAATACTGAATACCCCTCTCCCCTGAAATATAATCCGCTCCATAAACACTGACAGAAAACAACCATTACTGAACGCCTTCCGTGTCTAAAATATCCATACAGATCAAAGAACGAATTCTTTTTGACCAAAAGTCCAGGAAAACATTCCATAATTGGGGGTAGGTTCTGCCAAAAGCGTTCCCCTCCAAGGCGTCCTATCAGCCAAATTTGCAGAGCCAGCGAGCACTCCCCCAGTGAAGGGTTTATTCAACAAGTCTCCGCAACCCCGTGAGTGTCCCCTAATTACTAATTCTTTAGAGGAGTTTCCGCTTTTGCCCCAGAAATAAGCCGAGGCATAGTGAGGGAGAGCGGGGAGGTGGAAAAGGAGGTCCAGTTCGAGCAACGAGGGGCGTGAAGTGGAAAATCGGCCAAAGAAATGTGAATTCTTGGAGCGGGGTGGTGGCGTCGAGAACACAAGAAGACGACGGCGGGCTAGTGTTTTCTTGTTGCGGGTGCATTAAGGGATGGTTGGGGAACATTGGTCACTTAAGGGCTTATTGGACGAAGAGACACTAAAAACACCACTGATCGTTTACACATACTGGTGTCTTAAGTGGCGAACGGAGTGCCTGGGACTCCAGAGGAGTTTGCAGTAGTATTCTTTGCAGATTTTTCATCTAAAGCAAGACCGTTTTTCGATGGTACGGCCCAAATATCTATCGCACAAAATAAAAAAGCATAGGCGAAATTGCTAGGTTTTGGTCGGTTTGATAATTGAGGCGTTTTAAACTGCTTAAAACGGCTTAATTGTTTGAATAAAAATGGTGGTATTTTAAATAAATCTGGTGTTAACATTTGTTAAATATGCTTTGTTAAACAACCTGGGCCGCCATATTAAAAGATTCATTTCACATTTCCAAAAGTCACAGATTGCATCACAGCACCAGGAAAATCCATTGCAGCAAAAATATCAAGACAAGCAAAAGTATTTGAGCAACAACAGGATGGGTTCTCAACATGCATTACTGATTATCGGCACGTCGTTGCTGAGCCTGGCTGCGCCAATATTCAGCCATCCACCAAGCATAGAGAAGCTGCAGCAGGAATTGATTCGGGTCGTGACTCGAGGTGCCTAAATCCCATGAAAAAGGGTTAAAATCAAGAATTACTTGGCGCATCGTAGTACGCGTCAAGGGCCTCGCGAAACCTCTCTAGCTCTTCCGGGGTCAAATCCGGGTTATTCCCATTATCATCCATTCTAAAGAACTTAGCGGCGGCAGCGAAATTTTTAACTATAAAATCAAGGGCTGAAAGCCATTCACAATAAAGACTAATAATTCACAACATTTATTACGATAGCTGCAACAGGGAGTTTGAAAGCAAACTCAGATTTCTATTTCTCCTGATGGCGTGCCTCATTCATGCTCAATTCAAGAAGCGCAAACATCTGGTCAATCGGATTGATTCTCGAGGAAACTAAACCAGCTTGATTTAGAAATAGGTAGTAGATAGATAGTAGAGAGTAGATAATACTAGATATACTGACCTGCAGCGCGGTAATAGGCGCCCATATGGTGAAGAGCTTCCGAATGAAGTCGTCTCAGCTCTTGTTCACGAGCCTTAAAAATAATGATAACAGATACTACAGTCCGCGTCATAATGATAGGTTCACCCCATTTTAGGACAGCTTGTTAATCTAGAATAAGTTTCCGGATAAAACGGGCGTTGTAATCAGTTAGGGCACAGCTCAAAACCTTCCAGGCCAGTATCCATTTGGTTAGAAAAGGCTTCTAGATTTCGAAGGAATTTTATCTCAAAAAAAAGGCTTGCGTCATAAAGATAGGTTCACCCCGAATTTTTCCGCAAAAATCATACATTCGGATTTTACTTGTATTTTTAATTAAGTAGCATTGAAGTATACATGAGTTTCCTATACTTGGTTTGACTCGAAAGGTTTCAGGGAATTTTTTGCAAAAGTCGATTTTAACAAAGAAATTACTATTTTTGTGGCAATACGGGCTGGATTTAACCGGAAGCGCAAGTTCCTTCTATGGACTTGAAAGAGCAGCTCAAGACAAGCATTTTGGTATATAACAACGTCTTTGGATTCGGCGATATTGGGGTGACACAGACGAAGAAAGTTGGGATGGACTGCGCAAGTAAGGATTGGCGGCCATTTAGTATGGGACCCAGTAGGTTCGATGTTTCTAGACCTGTATCTTCGTGAACACCTTAGTTCTTATAGCCGTTTATATACCAAAATGCTCGTCATTAAGTGCACTTTCCCGAGATCGCCTACATACTAAAATTGAAAACGAGTATCGCCGGATAATCCAAAAAAAAGTGTGCTTTCTTTGTTAAAATCGACTTTTGCAAAAATTCCTGAAACCTTTCGAGTCAAACCAAGTATAGGAAACTCATGTATACTTCAATGCTACTTAATTAAAAATACAAGTAAAATCCGAATGTATGATTTTTGCGGAAAAATTCGGGGGTGAACCTATCTTTATGACGCAAGCCTTTTTTTTGAGATAAAATTCCTTCCGAAATCTAGAAGCCTTTTCTAACCAAATGGATACTGGCCTGGAAGGTTTTGAGCTGTGCCCTAATTGATTACAACGCCCGTTTTATCCGAAACTTATTCTAGATTAACAAGCTGTCCTAAATGGGGTGAACCTATCATTATGACGCGGACTGTATAACAAATAAGCTTACTTGTTCCGCCTCCCTGCCTACGCTGAGCTGCTGCCATTTGGAGCTAAATTAAAAAAAATGGTTTTTGTGAAAGTTTAGTTACCTTAAGCTGTGCAGTAAGTTGTTCTTGTATCTTACGAAGATCGTTTTTCTAGAAAAAGCTTATTACATTGGTGTTGGTTTGCTTGTATGCCTTAAGGAGCAAGGAATCCAGCGCTTCGCTGGCCATCTTTGGATAGGGATCTTGTTGAGGAGCTCGACAGCATTCGGAATGGTAATCGTGGGAGTCACAGGAACATGGCTTCCGGGCCGGCGGACCAGCATTACCTAGATAGCTTCCAGTGTTTTTGGTATTTTAAGCGGTCCTGGTTCCATGAAAAAGTAAGTAATGAAGTGAACAAGTAACTTTTTTTAATCACATCCTAGTCTCTTCTCACCTCCAACATATCTTTCTCCAGTTTCGACAAAGCATTATAGTTCACGATTTCGTGCGCCTGCTGGGAAGCTATAAACAACCGTCAACTATATGTTTTTCTACAACCTGTAAATTTCGGAAGGGGTTCCATATACGGGGCCCTGTCATTTGTAGGGTGTCGTGGGCGCTCCAAGTAATCCTTCACTCGTTCTTAAAAGATGTTTTTTCGTTTTATTCTAAGGAATTTCTATGATTTTTTTGTAAGCGATTACACCCACTTCGAGGATTACTTAAAAATTAATAAACTATATTTAAAAATTTACCGGACTATCCTAATTATAGACGTAGGCGGTATTAGTTCGGCTAGTCACCTTAGGCTAAAAAGACATCATCGGAAATGGAACAAAATTCGCAATAAAATGCAGCTAAAAGTCCCTTAATCAAATCCTTACCGGCTGCTTTCCAAGTCCTGGGTTTCCGGTCCGGACCCGGGGCCTCGTTTCCTTCCCTGGTCCATCCCTTTAAAGTCGCTTTAAATAAAAGTTTGGTTGAAAGCGAAACATCAATACGCATTTAAAAAATCATTAAAAATTATTATCCAGATGGTTAAGCGCCGGGGCTTCTTGTGGGTGAATGACTAATGCGGGATGGACTTGTTTTTCTCCAATCTGGGTGCCATTGCAATCGATGAGCGGATGATATACACAGATGACATGTGTTTCTTGCTGAGGTTGAGAATTTAATGGGGGAGCTGTGTTTGGGGATTACCGGGAAATTTAACGTTGAATATGAAGATTGGCATGCATTATGGGTTTTCCGGTGTTGTAGGGAGTATCCGAAAAAGCATAAATTGCAGGCAAGTGTTAACGCTGAGCGTAATGTTGGTTTCCCTTTAACTCCTTTTTTACTGAAATTCACAACTTTAATACTGTCGCAGCGACCTTTTTCAGGAAATAAAGTTCAGATCAAACAGGAATCGAGAGTAAAGCACTAATTTGATTATGCCAAATCTATTTTTATTCCCTATGCAAAAATTCCTTTTATTTTCCGGATTCCTCGTTTAATAGATCGTCAGAGCGTTCAAAAATATCGGGTAAATCGGCAAATATCGATAAATAATATTATAAGGCCCGATTTAATGGGAAAACTGTTTAGAGAACACACCACGCGCTGAATTCTTTCAAAATACTATTAGTGCTACGTAAACTGAAAATACATACGTAGACAATCTCAAAAATGAGCAATCCCTAATATTATTGGGATAAAACTGAATTTTTCCAGCTTTGAATTGATGGCGGAGAGCAGACAGTCAGCAGGATCGAAATGAAGATTTTCGATAGCGATTGAGCACTGGGTATCGCTGCCCGACCCCCCGGCTGATTCAGTGGCCAAAGCCCCGCTCGACCGTGGGAATACCAAAACAAAACCGTCGCCCACAATGGCAATTCAACCCCCTAACACCCTCAACTGCCCTTCACAGCTGCATGTCCCAAAAACCCCCCTCACTATCAGATGGAAAGTACAACTTTATTCGAAGCAAGCCACGACAAGATGCATTTTGCGGTATTCGTTGTAAGCGGTGGCCAGCCCGATCCGTTCGGCTTCGAGGGTGTGATTCGGGTTTCCCGACCGATCGGCTTCTAGAAAAAAGCATAGACTTGGAATCGATTCTCACCGGATATCCAAGCAAAGCAATGTCAGCTGAAGGATCGGCCCCATCCAAACGGACATACACGTGCCGCGTTGAGTACTAAAACCAAGTCATCAAGCACGAATTACAGGGTGTCCCAAAAAAAACGACCCACCTGGCATTTCGCTGTATTACATCCCAATCGGCCCCAAATTTGGACCAGAGGTGTATCAGACCCTAAATAACTACAATCCTGAGTTACAGTCCCGTAGCTACAGTAGTTCTCGAGTTATAACAAAAATACTGTTTTTCCCGCGATTCTGAACAGTTTTTTCGGCTATCTTTTTGGACTTTGCATCGATTTGCATCGAGTTCCGGCTGTGAATCCCTAATTTCGCTCAAGAACTTGGATAATTTTGCGTTGTAAAAATCGCTTAAGTCGAAGCTTATTTAATTAATTTTACTCTGGAAAAATTTCTTAAGGTAAGGAAGGCCTGCCGGATCATTTTCACTTAATGTTTAGGGGGCCTAATTCCACGAAAACCCTGTGAAAAATGGAAAATAAAGTTTGTTTTTGCCATAACTCGAGAACTATTATAGCTACAGGGCTAAAAGATAGGATTGTTGTTATTTAGGGTCTGATACACCTCTGGTCCAAATTTGGGGCCGATTGGCTGTAACACGGCGAGATGCCAGATGGGTCGTTTTTTTGGGACACCCTGTACATACCAAAAGTCATCCTCTGCAGCTAGAAAATCCGCCCAGGCCTCGGCGTCCGCAATCAGATTTCTGTCGGAGTACAAGGGCATTATTCGATTTTCTCTAAAAATCATGGTTACTACAGTAGCATCTCGGACCTTCCGGATGTGATTGATACGATCCAGGAGAGATGTTGGAGGGACACAAAATCGTAGTAAACAGTCTTGTACGCTTTTTTCAGGCCGCAGTTCTCGATAGCATGCCCTTCTTCACGAATCGGGATTGCACAACGGGGGCATACTTGCACTGTAATTTGCATTAAACTGTAAGGTCCTCAACTAATTACGATTCGGCGGTTCCGGGACGATCCGGGCGGTAGGACCAACTTTTAGCGGCGTAGCCGTTTCCGGATTCAGAAACTGGGCAGGCATAAAATTTATCGTAGTCAGCAACTTGGACGGACTCCTAACAATTGTTAAAAAATCGAACTATGGTTTTAGGTTCGCTAAAATTTTGACCCCACCTGACTCGATACCGAGATCAAATACCCATCAGCCGTCCGCCGCTCCACTTGTTTCCAAACCACTTTTTCGAGTGGTTTCGGTTTGTAACGGTAGACAACTTGATTATGGCGCATGGAGAAGTATTGGGATGGGGGTTGAGCGTGAGGTCGTGACTGCGATCCGAGAGTCAAGCCCCAACTTTACGACGTCCCATCCCTTTCACTTGGCCACAATGGGTGATCGACGAAGAAAACGGCTTTGCAAATAGAACAACCTTTCCTTTTGAGGGATCAATGTGGAATGCTGGTTTTTGGGTGAGTTTGTTACAAATGGGAAGCTGGCGAGTAAGGACCGTAAAGTCACTCTTCTCCTTGTAAAATCATTTTGGAAAAGGTGAAAAATTACGTAACTCGGCCCTCTTTAATATCTTTTTCCCTATTGTAAAATCATTTATAAAGTCTCCTTACCCACCTTTGGGCTTTTGGTAGCGGCGACCCTAAAATATGCCCCAGCCGACGTACTCCCGAATCGATTCTTTAGCCCGCGTAATGAGCCCCGGGCAAGGAAGCTTTTGGGCACCCGGCTGGGTTTCTACAGCCCTAAATATCTTAAATCCATTTTAAATGTTACAAAATAGCTGGGTTTGATGATAAACAAATGAAGCATCCATTTTCGAATTTTAGATGGCTACTGCCGCCGAACAACGAGATTCCAGCCCAGATGAGGCTGGCGGCGGATCGGAAATGGCGGCAGGTTGGGTTGATTCACGTTAAAGTATATAAAGTTTCAATTTTCAGGAATCATGTCTGGTGGTCCAGCCAAGTGTTGAAGCGCTAGATCGCCAGATTGTAAATACCAAACGGGCACAGGTTGGCATAGAAAGCTCACACACCATTTTCAATTTCAGGCCCATCTCAACGAGCAAATCGAGTTGGTATCTGAGGTTTTGCATGGGATCGGTGATGATTCTGAATATGATCTACTTGAATACGTCAATAAAGTAGAGGAATCTAAAAGTGGGTTTATGCATTTAGTTATGAATAATTAATTAATTGTTAAGAAGAATTAACCGTTCTGGAGCTGTTTTGGAGAAAATCCACGATCGCCTTTCTCAACTTCAACGTGATATCGCTAGGCAAATCCACAAAGAAAAAACAGATATGCATGCCCCAGCGCCTGCCCCACCTAAACGGTGAACTTGGCCCAAAACACTTTTTAATGGCATTATGTAGCTCTGATCTATATATATTTTTACCAGATCTTTGTCATTTTGCTTTTTTGTATTTTTTTGGTGCATAGCGTAACCCAATCCATGCCACGTGACTGATCTCAAACTTCAACCCAAAACTCGGTCAAATTCATATGCATAATATTCGGATAAAATTATTTCACATGACTGATATAGTTCGGCATCAAACAACACACCAAATGTGTACATTTCAATTGTAGAAACCCATAGAGAGGAGAGGAATGAAGAAGGAAGTGAAAAAAGTGAGGATCGGGGGAAGACCGTGTCATGTCATCATAACTCCGAAGTTCAGGGCCATCGTGCGCATATTCGGATGGTATTCGAGCTAGGCCGACCTTAAAAAAACGATAATCAATGCTAAAGAATTCATTTATACCTCTAATCTAGCCGAACGCTTCTCTTTTGTTAATGAAACTTTTCGGGTAACTGGTATATATTCAGGGTGATCGAACGTGACCTGAAAAAAATGTATGGACTTTATTTTTGGAACCCACCTCATAGTCTCCAATATTAGCAAGTCTCCAGAATTCTCCGCCCTCATAAGATGTAATAATTTTGCTACGGAAGTCGATCGATACGGTAGCATTTGGGATGCCTTGTCCAGTTTCCATATCGTAAATGAAACCCGAGATGGCACTAGAAAAGATTCGCAGGCTTAACTACATCCATTTTTGTTGCTTACTTGTGCACTAATGAGATATAGTGAAGCATGGCGTAATTATTTTCCTTCCACAACCATCTCATCTCCTCTTTTTTCGGGAATTTCGCACAGTTCGTCTCCACGGTTACTTCAAAGCAATTCGTGTGGACGTAATTCCAATCCTAAACAACACAAATCTTATTCGACCTGCTTAAGAGAGTACCTGCATTCCACCAGATACAATATACCATTCCGCTCCATTTACAATACCGTACTTTGGGTCACCAGGTGAATTTAATTCCTCGTCGATGCATCGTGGGCCCTAAATCGGCCGTGTTAATTATTAATTATGTATCTTTTTAAACCGAAATGTCCGTTTTTAAGCCCCCGCGTACCTGTTTCCACATCCGATCATGCGCCTTGGCGTACGAATATGCCAGCCGTACGAATAACGCATTATCCGGCGATGGTGTATATTTACTATCTTTCACCCTGGTTGGAGCATCATCAAATGGATAATTTACGAGCATAGAACCTAGATAACATATTTTTAACTCCAAATTCCTGACCTCCATGTAAATTCGCTGATAAGACAAATGGCAAGCTTTTCGACCAACTCATCATGGCCAATGTCTCGGGCTCTGGGTTTTGAGAAGGGAAATAATTGGGAAACCTTAAAAATAACTTCTAAATACTATTTTTCGGTCCACCTCGTCGGGAAATTCCTATTTAAATCCTTGCGATTCGCATTTTCTCGTCCTCTTTTGCCAGTATCCGCCCCTTCAACCGATTCCTCATATCCATCTGGGTTCATTGACGGCATTAAATGGATTCTAAAATCAGTAAAACTATATAAAAAGTCGGAATACGTACCGAGTGGTATCCACTAAATTTCGGATCCAAACATTACTCTGATATTCATTAAGTAATAGCCAAGCCAAAAAAACGAGGAAATCCCGTCCAGCCACCTTAAGCCAATTATTGTATTCAAAATATAAATACCTCATTGCCATGCATATTCGCAACATATTTAAATTCCGGCAAACCAAAGGCATGCCGGTTCGGGCTTTTCGATATGCAGAACACCCACAGCTCCCTTCCCTCGACCGAACGGCCCGCGCTGTACAAATGCGTCAGATTCGGGAATTGCTTATTCAGGCCCTAAATCCAAAACCCATCATAAACTGAGTTTTCCATACTTTTAGATATTGCGTCAATTCATCGTAATTCCAGTGCCGATAATCTGGAATTTCCTTCAGGGGCCCGATTATGCGATGCAATTCTTCAGAGGAATGCACATCTTCTTGGTTCATAAAAATTTGCACGAGTTCCTGAACCAAAAATATTTAGATTCTAATTCGGAATTACCTGCTCGGTTTTAATCGCTTCAGACGCAGTAACCAGCAAGGTGCGAAATGCCAGCAGGGCGAGCGTTGAGCGCAATATCCGTTCCATCACAGAATACTGTAGAATTTTATCAAGGTAACAGTAGCTTCTTTTTTGAGACTTCAGCTCATATTCCTGAAAAAGTTGCGATTGAGGCCACAAGGATCGGAATTATTGGCATAAATTGTAGCGAGTCCGGCGCACGAAACTGATATGTGCGTGTTTTGGGCAATTTCGGGGGATGGCCGATGGAAGGAGGAGGAGGAGTGTCTGAATTGGGAATGCAATAGCTAGATACATGGAATTTGGTCACACAATCTACATCTTGCTTTGACTAGGCTAGCAAGGTCTAAATGACTAGAATATGAATTAAATAGTTATATAAAACATTTTTTTAATTTACATAGCCATAAAAAAGTGGAATACGCAAATTCTAAAGAAGCAATTATGCCGAAAATAATCTTGGCTTGATTGAAATTGAAGAGAAAGCAAAGCAAGAGAGCGAGGGAGAGCGTTGAATGAAAGCTGAGAAAAAATGCAAAAAAAAATATTAAAAAAAGTCAATCATCTTTCAAAAAGTTAATCGAAAGATTTCAAGAATTTTCAAGTAATGTTAATATAATCCAGAAGAATCCAAAATAAATCTCGGCCTTCCTATGCCCAAATAATGCGAACATTTCCACACGACTGGTTTTGGACCCCCGGTGGGGTCATTCTCCCGGCTGCCAATAGAGAGTGGGACTCTCACCCCCTAAGAACATGTGTAATTTGGGGGTGTTCCCCTATTGCTGCAAAGTCATCCTTCCTAGTTCCCCCTGGGCACATTTGATAGGACAGGGGTCGAAAAGAAAAGATTTATTTCCTCCACTAGTCAGTTAAGTAAGAACCCGAACGAGGTAGCGAGGAACTGGAGCTAATTACCGTATTACTCCTTATGTAAACCAAGTAATAAACGACGACTTAAAACAGTAAATACGCAAAAAAACATAATGTTTAGAGATGCTACAACTTTTTTCGACGCAACACCCACACTTTGGGTTTGCTATCATCCGGCTGTAAAGCGACGCGCATGCGCAAAAATTACTCGGGGGCCCGCCTAGGGCCCGAGGCGGATGGGAGACCGATTTGCATAGGAGAAGAAGGGCAATGACTCCGAAAATTGGATCAGCCGGTCAGGTACCCGGGGGCCGAGAAGGAGGGTCACATCCCTAGGGCCCATCCCCCGGAGGATCCTTCTCATGGCCATCAGGCTCACGAAATTCCGGTTGGCAACAAGATAATACCTGGGTTGGATAAGGAACGTACGTTTTGGATTGGAAAATGGAAAAAATATACAATATACCGTATCTCGCTATATATTGACCTTATTGAGAGATCGAAACCCTGGGTTCTACTTACTAGTGGAAACACGGCCACATAAATATTGGAATAATGGCTACAGTACCCGCTGGAGGCGTCTCTACCAAATGAACCCATGATTTATCCTCAACGGGCACGGGCTCTAAAAAGGGGCGAGCAACAGCCCCAGCTGGGAATATACAGGTGGCCGGCCCTCAGCGGATATAAGAAGCCGCTGATGGCTAAAAAGCCAGCGGCTGCCTATGGCGTGAGAATTGCTGTACGATAACCAAAAAATCAGCTGCCGGCGGATCTGTTGTGCAATGCCGGATGTTCATTTAGTGAAAAGGTAAAGGTTTTATGAAGGCAATTAGAGTGTTTGAGTCAACATCGCCGATAAAAGGCTATTTTCAAGGAAATTTTTAAAAAGCTATTTAGGAAGAGCTCTTTATAAAATCCGCAAACCGCACTAGATCTTATTTTAGAGAAACCAGATTCTAAAAAAACCAATCCGCTATTTACAGGTGGATGCATAAATGCCTATTTTTAACTCAGCTTTCGCCATATGTAAACCTTTAAATTTCCCTTATCGATAAAACCCTATATAACCCCCTTCAAGCACCCGATGAGAGTCGAAAAGGTCTAGCATAGGGGCTCCCTATTTCAAACGACCCCCGTCGAGGCCCACCCCAAAAAAAAACGAGGAGCAGCGGTAAATCTCGGCAGAGGGATGACCTGTTCATGTGGGAGAGATGTGGGCCCTAGGCCTCACTGGAAAAGGCGAACAAAACGGGTGAAAAATTCGCAACGCCGTCGAGGGCTAGGGAATGGGAAAGGGAACAGGCCATCACGGGCCCTGAGGCAGAGGAAAGGGAGGGCCCATTTTGGGACGCTATTAGCCCGATCTGATAGCCTTTTCTATGGGTCTACACAACAACAGGCAGCCAGTAGAATGGCTTTCGGGGTTTGGGATTGGAGGAGGTGGGTGGGTGATGGTGCTGGACTGTTAGCGAGCGGAGGTGGGCAAGACATACCTATCTATCGAGATTTTCAGCTCCTATAGGATTACCTTTATCGGTGTTTTAGTCGTTTCGATTGCGAAAAAGCTGCGAAAATGTCTTTAAATGTTTACATTTTCGCATTTTAAAAAGATTTTAACGGAAGGTTTTTCTAGAATTCTATTTTCAAAGTTTAGATGAAATTTACAAATTTTCTCCGCATAAAGATACTAAAAAACAGCAAGATGTGGTTCTTCATTATTCGTAACCCCCCTCTTAAAAATCCATAGGCATATGCCTTAAACTGAATGCCAAGAAACAAACGTCAACACGATAAACAACAAAAAAAATATATAAAATAGGGAATGGAAAACGATTCTCTATGTAAACAAAACTTCGAGTAGAGCCTTATGTAGTAGCACTTTTCGAGGGATCAACAAAATGGCTAATGTCTGGCGAAGGGGGCCAAGTGGTCATCTGGCGCAATAATACCTAGAGGGGCCCCTCTCCGGGGACCCCATTTTTTCTGGCGTCTGCTGCTAAACCCAGCACGACTGCCGTAGAAGGAAGGGAGGCTTAGGAAGTTTTTCAAGCCTAACGTTTATATTTTGAGTCCAAGAGCGAGATCTCAAGTTTAAATATGCTTGGGTCATTAACAAACAAAGAAGCAATTTTGAGCAAAAAATTTTCTAAGCTTCTTCTCGCTTTTTAGCGATGTGAGAACTCTATGCAGTCTCCTTGAGTTCCTTTTCATCTCTATGTTACGAAAAGGCAAAGTGTTAAGAAAATTTGACTAGTGTTTTTAACTTTTTATGCCTAAAAGAGCATAAAATGTGATTAAAGTGGTTGTACTCCATAGCAACCTGCCTACGTGGCAGCTGGACTTTGATATCGCTACCCCCCCCGTAATGAACCAGTAATGAAAAACTATGGGCAAAACCAGGAAATTGAACTCTCCTTTATCTGATACCGGAAGACCGCTCCCAAAAAAAAGAAATTATCGAATAAGCCGCTCCCTAACGCCGACAACGCCAGAATTTTAGAAAAAGCATATCCCATCCATTTTTTACCCATATCCACGCACAGACCAAGACAATACCCACAAATAGGGCTACCCATCCCAGGTACAAACCCCAAAAGCATGAATGGCTCCTTTCAATAGAACAGCCGTCCCACGTCCCTCCTTTCCTGATTTTCGGGCGCCGTGATGAGTAAGGGCAATCCGTTTCGATCGGACTGCAAACAAGATAACTGCCTTCGTTTTGACACTTATATAAGCCGACCACGGGATTGGAGGTGCTCGTAAAGTTATAAGACGAGACGCCTGAAGCACCCCTTACGATGTGATATTTTAGTGGGGGAGAAGGAGAAGAAGGGGCAGTTCCGCGGATGGAAGCATCTCAATTTACCCTAATTAGGGGAAGACATTCCTATTGAAAATTGTGGTCGGGAAGAAGGGTAGACGAGGGCAGTTACGCAAGGAGTTTGAAGATTGGGATTAGTAAAGCACCCTGAACTTGAAAATCAGGAATCGTGGCATTTGAATGATCCAAGACATTTCTTGAGAATTTTCGGTAAGAAGGTTCAAAGGTATTTTGTTTAATTTCAGATTGTAACTCAGCATCTGATTCGTCAGCCCTTAAATCCCACATTGTGGTGTCGCGAAAATCAACTTCTGGAAGTCTCAATCGATCGAAATTTTGCAATTTGTCTGATTTAAATATGCAAATCACCACTGATCAATACAATTTGATGCTCTGAAAATTGCGAGGTAATAAAAATTTGAGATAATGGACTGCTTGAGGCTGATTTTTGAGATCCCGACGTTCAGTATAAACTTTCAAACTAATCAGCTTTTTTTGTATGCAATTTGATAACTTCGTTAGCCAGTTTTTAACGTTTAATTTTGTCATTTTCAGCAGCTTTCCCTGTAAAATACTTCAATTTAATCTCATTTTTAGTCTCCACTTGCTGTCAATTATTTCCATTGCTGGTTGGTTCCCCCCTTCCCCTAGCATGAAAGGTAGTGTGTTGTTTGGGTGTTTGCCTGTTATCTCTCTCCCTTCCTATTTCCTTCCCAGTCCTTTGGCCTCTCTTTTGGTGCTCTTTACTCCTCTGTTCCCGCATTTTACCCCCAGATACTATTGCCCTTCCGATCATCGACCCGTTTTGGCCGACTATTTGCATCGTATCAGAGCTATTTTCGCAGTTATATCGTTATTTTTGCAGGGAAGACTGGTAAGATGGTTGCGGGGAAGAGGCTGCCTCAGCAGGTGCTGGTACGTTGTTAAAAAAGGTTTTTAAGCGTTAATAAAAGATTAAATGTACATTCTTGAGCTCAGATCCACTTACCCTTACTAGGGAAGTCCAAGATACCCGCAACACGAATCGGGCTGAAAATTTGCACAGTTATAGAACCGACCATGCTGATCATCGGCTCGCTTCCCGAATTTGCTACGAGCTTAAATAATTAAGATATTAAACTTTTCAAATGGGCCAAAAACCCGCTACCGGACCTTGGCTCACTCATTATCTCAACCTTTTTCTCCTTACAAATTAAAGCTTGTAGGGCAAAATTTGCTCCGCCAATCTTTTACATCTTTCTACATTTTTGGTGGTTTATCTTTGCAGGCAAGAAATGCAGAGCTTCTAATATACGATACATTTGCTTTTATGTAGACAAAACTGATTAGATGTGATTTTCCTAATTATATTTTTTACCCCAATTTCATAGTTTGCCCACATCCAATTACACCAATATTTCCGCACTTTGCCCAGCTGTAGTCTGCTGCCGCATCACCCTGTATGATAAGCGATACACAGCATACCAAAATAACGAGTTACGCACGTAATTCATCATTAGAGCAAGAAATACTTTTGCAGTCTTCCATCCGGCAGCTCTCCTTCACTTCACAACAACTGAAGAAAATGGTTGCCAATGAGGGGACATCAAGGTACCTCGGTCAACCACCACTTACGGTGCCGGATCCGGAAATAACGCTCAAAGAAATTTCTGGATTATGCCACTGCTTTGGCAGCAAATGGAAAACCCGGTCAACATCAGGTCTCGCAAAATACATCGGATATTTTGAAGGTGATGCATTGTTAAATTTGCATTTACTTTACCTAGCTTTCATGAAAATCTAGATCTAAAGCTTAAGGGTAAAAATTTGACGGTTTCAATACGAAATGATTCAAATCCGCTAAAGACAATCAGAAACAATTATCTAATTGGCTTTAGCAAACAGAGTTCGTTGGAATGAAATTCGATTAGATGAATTTGTTAGTATTTATTTTTTAGAATTATTTAAAGGTTTACGCAATCCGAATTAACCCCAAAATTCAGACCATCAAAAAATTCCGCGAGGAAGAGATGCCCGCTGCAAAAGCTGTTGGAGGAGCGGGGCAGCAAGCTACAAAGTTGGGTATGCCACTTCAACTCGATATTCAAAAAAACTTAGCTTACTCCATGGTGGCTTGATGCTGGCCTGATTTGGTTGCCAGAACCCCCTCTACCGGTCGTCACTTCACCTGGCGTGCTATTTCCACGATTTCCTGTAAAGCACAGTAATCCCGTCGACGTGCAGGTATTTCAAAACTACAAAAAAATCTAAATTACCATCCTCAGATCCATTATGCTACCATCATTACCCTCCAGCGCCTTGCAGTTCTATCAAGCTGTCGAATCCGTCAGTGAAATGTTTTCTTTTTCTTGGAACGAGGTAGTTTTTAGTGGAGCATTACCTCAAGATATGGCTGGAAAAGCCCCAATGGACATGTCACAATACAAATTTTTGTTTTGGAACGACAAAGGGTACCAAGGAAGAGTGTGGTAAGATAAACGAACCAGCAAAATATTCGTGTTTTAGGATCCAAATCAAATATGGTTTTGCAAACAGGGGCCCGAATAAGCACATTGTCGTGATGCGGAATGGACATGTAAGAAAAACCCGAAAAATCAGACCCAAAATCCTAGGCCCGTGGTCGTTCCTGTGGTCACTAACGGCACGAAATCAGGGGATCATGCTGTTATTGAACAAGCTATTAGACAGGTTGCTCTTAGAGCTATGTTTAGTTCTGTTTAGGCTTATAAATTAGCCGAAGCTAAGAACCCTCACCAAATCGGCATTATTTCCGGCAGTGAACGAAACAATTGGGCTGAAGTTTATAAGAAATTGGAAGGTTTTGGAAATTGGGTCGAACATCTAAATGATTATTAGGAGACATCAACAATGCAGAAAATCTGAAGGCAATTTAGGGGCATTGTTTGTGGTTTGCTTGGATGCGCCGACAGAACCACCGAACGGACATTCTGAGAAAGATGAGCAGGCTCGATCTGTTCGTTTTTCACTTACCTTAGGTTATTATTTGTTCGACTCCTGAAGCTACGGTTGAAACGATGTATTTTTTTTGTGAAGGCGGGACTATGCGACCAGGTTCTGCAAATAATTCTGGCGAATCGTTGGTTCCACAGCGGACGAGTTACTGAGATATTATTTGATTCTTTTCACAATTCATCAGAATTCGACGGATATTAGCCGAATATTTTTTTGTTTTAACTATCCGGAAAATTGCGATCAACCACCTAGTTCATCATCGCGGATAATGGATGTTGCGGAATGACCGATGAACATACCCAGTCCGAAAGGACCGCCAATCCGCAGTGCTAATGGATTTTGTAGTGCGATAAGATGTAGGTCCTTTTAAAAAAATTTAGCCTTTTAAACATTTTTAGTAACGCCCAAAATACCTCACAAATGGTGATACCCAACCGGTCGATGTCAGGCTGCTCAAGTTCATCCTTGAAGATTCCGTCGAAAGATGCTGTAGCCCGAAGCGCCAAGGAAATGGACAAGTAATAAAAGAGTAATGTCAAAACCTCAAAATTTAGGGTCGTCGAGGATCTGGAAGTCCGGACCTATTCCTTCAAAAACTATGGCAAGAATTTCCCCAAGCAGTTGAAGCTGTCACCAGATAGCTTCATTCAAATGGCTTTCCAATTGGCTTACTATAGGTCAAAATATATCGTTGATTACCTATATTTTTAGGCTTTATAACAAAGTCCTACCAACTTATGAAACTGCCACACTGCGACTTTTTGCTGAAGGCCAACAGTATCCGAGAATATTCGATTGCCAGTGTAAAATCGAGGAATATGTGCGAAGCTGTGCGTTGTGTTCCCAGCGTCCTTTAGGCACAAATTTTAGATGCAATCGACCGATCGATGGATACCGAAAAGTATCAACTCTTCCGGAGGCTGCTGAATATCATAAAGATCTTGCTAAAGATTGTATGGCAAACAAAGGTGCCGGGTTTTTCTTAACTTTCTAAAAACTATTTTTAGGAATGGACCGACATCTTTTGGCCTGGAGGTTGTTGGCTTCGGAAAATAAACTTCCGGCACCGAGCATTTACTAGCCGAGAGTTTTAAAGAGATGACGCACTTCCGGGTATCAACTAGTCAGGTAGATCACATAGACTAATTCAAAATCACAATATTAGGTTCCCACCAAAATTTCATTCAAATGTGCTTCGGCCCATCGGATCCCGATTGCTATGGTATCTGCTACAATCCACAGGAAACGGAATTGCACTTTACTGTAACAGCGTTCAATCAGGAGCCCACCACATCTGCTAAAAGGTAAATTAAATTTAGTATATTCAGCCAGGCAACTTTTTAAGATTCGTCGCTGAATTAGGAAATACTTTCAACGATCTCGAGCGTCTCTGCGGACGCTTCATAGACACCAAGCCCCAAATCCAAATTGTAGGAAAATACTCAAGCATTGCTGAACGTGTACAGTTAGCCGAATACATAAAAAATAAATATATTTATGCAAATTAGAATGACTAGATAATAATATACCCATTTTGCGCATGATATCCGTTTTGGGAGATGAAATGGATGAGATCAAGTAAGGAATGTCGCCTATTCGAGCGAGTCCCACCCAGCTAAGTACATCTGGACTGTAATCGACCAACAGAGCATTGAAGTCAATTGAATTAATCGATTCTTTGGGGCCAAGGTTGGATTGATGGTTCGGAGAGGTGGACGAGCTGTTCGACGCGTTTGGCGCTCACTTCCTGAAAGTCGTAACGTTTTAACCCGGTTTGAGCACACCATTAAATGCCGTACCTAGGATTAGCATCCAAAGAATGGCGTCGTTCCTCTTCATCTTGTGTTTCTTCCACATCTGGTAGTTCATAGGTGGGTAGCTGGAAAGGGGGATACGTTTTTAGGCGGAGGTGGCTTACATGAAACTGTTTCATTGTTGCCCGTCGTTCTTTTGTGGTTTTGGGTTCTGGTTTTTCGAAGCGTTTTGCGAGACTGTCAAGCATGAATTTTTTGGCTTCCTGGAAACCGAATATAGATCAATGATAGAGAGGTCTTACCCCAACAAGTTCCGGGATACTGCCACGGCGACGGTTTCTTTGTCGTTTACTACCACGTCTATCATCTTCCTAGTAGACTTGCTTCGCCATTATCAATCACTTCAATCGATTGCTGGGACTGGTGTTGAGCAGCGATTACGGCAGCCGCCTACATAGTATATAACTTTATTATCTACCAAATAGACCTGTAGTGTTTGAATTGGAGTCGGAGGCTGCAAGCTCGCAGCCAGACAAGATAAACGATGCAGTGGAACGACGGTTGGGATTAACGTATCACCCTGAAAACACTTACTTATTACCTTAATCCTTCGCCAAGGTTATTATTTTGAATGACTTACATTATTCCGGCTTATGCTTCAACTTTCGCAAACAATGCTCCAGCCAATGTCGGATTGTCTGCTTGGCCACTTCCTCTTCAATAATATATTCCAGCTCTTCTCTCTGCACCAATTCCTCAAGCTGCAAGCTTTTTCGAATGTCGACACTTCGATATGAAAGCATACTAAAATAGGGAAATAATTATTGGAATTTTCTTACTTCAAAACATCATGGAATGAGATATCATCACCATTATGAAGTCTTTTCCATCTCAAAGCACATATGCCTAAAAGCAATCGATCTTTGTTTGGGTCGACCTGAAAATTTGCACTAATAATTGGATAAATACTACCTCTAATCGTCCTTTCAAAAGTCGCAGTAAAAATTTGACTCTTCGGACAGGGATCGACCGCTAAAGTAAGATAGTTCGAAAAGTTATTTAAAAACCTACCTTTGTTCGGTATCAACAATATTCCAGACTTGTTGGAAATTTCGGATATCCGCATAACTCAAAAGGGCATCTTCTTCAGAGGAATAGAAAAAGGGAAAAGTTTTCCATAATAATAGCTAAATTTAGGATACGTTTAACCTGTTAATAACCAGCCTACCGACAAGCAAATTGAGGACAATGTAAGTGATGATGAGGTAGAAAGAGCAAAAGTAGAAAACGGCTCCAAAATAGTTTCCACAGTCCGTCTGCCAGTAATTGAGACCGTCAGACCAGTAGCAGAATGGAGGGGAGCGCTAAAAAGTGGTTAATTTTTGTGTTTCATGTTTATTCTCGCCGTTTAGAATATCACCTACCATACAATCATGCATAATATCATTCCAATCTTCTCCCGTAACGCTTCGGAATAATACGACTAGTGCTTCACGACCGGATCGGAAATTCACATGTCTAAAATTTAATTTTTTTATTTGAAGATTCCAGTCTCACTTGCTAACAGCCTGCCCATATTTCACCATGCCAATAGAATGACACCCGTATAGGCATAAAACAACACTAGCAGAAACATGGCCGCAATAATGAACATTGATCGAACCATAGACATCAATACAGTCTGCATCAACATTTTGAGGGTTGATTTACGACCTGAATTTTGGTTTTGAAAGACAGGGGGATATACCAGCTATGGTGAAAAATCGCAGGATGACGACGATGTAGCCAAAAGTGTAGGAGAATCTACGCCATTCGGTTTCTGTATCTTTCCCGCCGGCGAGATGAGCTGGGACTTGGAAGATGAAGTGGAGGATGATCCAAGCCAGTCCTAAATATTTTTCAGAAACCGTTAAACCGTTTTTTGAGAGGAATTCGTTAGGCCTACCGAGTACTGTAATGAAGAAGTCGCTTCTATTCCGTCTTGATTGCCAGAACCCCTTGGTGTGAATGCTATCTTTTTCAAGATAATCTAAATAAATCGATTTTAAAGTGTTTTTGGGATATACCTCAATTGTAAACAATATATTGCAAAGTGCCGCACAGATTGTCAAAACGAAAAGAACGGAGCTCCTCTGCTTTTCCTCTTCCACATTCCAAGGTACCACCAGAGTAAATGAATTGATCACTACCAGCAATGCAAAGGCCTACACGTTTATCGATTGCTATGTATCTGACTCTAACAAGGAGACGTTTTAGTGTGAATGGAGTTCAGTTGAAACCAGGCCTATTCTGTGCAGAATTTACTGATTCCGATGCTGTTTTCCAATTTCAAATAATCGATTTAAAAAGTTACAGCTATTTTAAGATAATTTTTAGGCCCCGGTAGCCATATGCTGTGCTGTGCTACTTTATAACGTTTTAATTTTTTTTAAATCTATCTTGTAGAGAATTTTCTGATTCGAATGGTATCTTATTAGTGCGCTATGCCACGACGATACTTACAGGGTGAGAAATAGGCTGTTTTCACCATTTCCATAAAAAATCGCAGCCCACACCAAGTATCGTCGATTTTCGATTTTCCAATTTTATTAGTAGCTCATTCGACAGAAATTTTTCTGAATACGGTGACAATATTTATTTTTGGAAAACAGCCGGGAAAAGCAATATAATGGTCCCTAAGGGAAAATTTGGACTAAAATGATCTTAAAATTGCTATAACTTTTGAAATCGAGCTATTTAGCAGAAATGGAAAACATATTCGGAATCAAAAATTCTGCACAAAAGACTGGTTCACTGAAACTCCATTCACACCAAAAAACGTCTCTTGTAAGGTATCACCTGCTTGAACGGTCGACTCAGCGTCAATTCGTAAAGATAGATACGTAACCTCGCACTTTCGGCAGGTTTTGGTGGAACATGCAGAGGTTGGGCCATTTTCAAACGAGCTTTCAAGTCATGCCATCTTCTTTGATCGACGGTAAGCAGAGCGGTTCCCTAAAATAAACATAAGAATTTTTATAAGTGTTCTGTACCCGATTCTCGGTGTAATTTGCGATAACTACACCGACAAAAAGCGTCAACCCAATCATACATCCGATGAAGACATAGATATGGATGAAAAAGGACCGCCCACTAAAAAAATCAAAGCGCTTGCTGATGTATTTTGAAACTTACCGCTCCTTGTCGTAAATATAAAATATCACGAATGACGTTCCATCCCTTATACGATAGCGTCTCAAAAAGGGCCAACATAGCATTTCCAATATGGTCAAAGTTGAAGTTTCGTGGGTTCGTCCTAAGACTCGTGCTCCTTTTTATGTTTTAGAATTATTACCAGACACGCGGCACCAAGATCTTTGGATGCAAGTGATCATCATTTTTACCATACACTTCCATTCTTGTGACAAAAATCTTTTGTTCAAAGAGACCAGTGCAGTTTTCCTGAAATATCATAATAGAGAAGCATATCAAGACATACCCGAGTTGTAATATTTGGATCATTACAAGCCGCCAATTTCCCACCAACAATTTGTACCCCAAAGCTCGCGAAGATGAACATAAGTACGATTAACAAAATCGTTACCTGGAAATCAGATTTTTACTTCGGTATTCTAAACACAACTAACAAGCAAAATCTCTCGGAATCCTTTTGCACAACTCGACAACAACCCTCCGGATATGTGGCACCAATGTGTAGATCCGTAACGGACGCATAGCTCGGAATATCATCAGCAATTGGGCCACCGAATTTATCTCGACATGACTTGGCATCCAGAAAAGGTAGATCAACGAGGTCTACGTATTTTTTATATTTAACAATTGTTCGAGGCCTACGATATAAATAAAGAATGTCATCACTCCGCCGACGTCTTTTATCACAGCTTTTGGAGTGAAGAATAACCCATTCGCCAACACTTTTACGAGTAGTTCGAATGTCATTGCCAGTACAAAGAGATATTCAGTAATCTAAGAAACGATCAATATATTTTTAGTGTATTAACCTGAAGATACGGATTGTTAAAGATCAAATTCTCTCCAGTAGTTGGCCAAGGACTTTCGAAAAGCATAGACCAACAAGAGAGAGAAGTGACGATCACCATAGTCCAATCGAGGTAGGTCATCAAACCGAGGAAAGCGCTGAAAACCAAATTACCATACAAAATGGGTTCCATACTGGAGTTGCTTGTATTTGATCTGGATTTGCTTGCCAGTCACTGGATCGATTTTCTCCAAACTGTATTGTGCATAGACGATTTGTTGGCAAATTTGCCTAAATTAATATAAATCGAAATGGGATGGTGTAATTACCGGAATTTTGAATCTCGGCCCATACAGAAAAGCGGACGGTCAAAGTATGGATGATTTTCACGCATCTCTTCTTCGATTCGATTTCTAGAAGCCTGTTTGCATAATTGTTCCTCTCTTACCTTGTAATCTCAGCATGTGCTCGTTTTTGTTGCAATGCCTTGATATCGATTTCTCCTTGTTTTTGTTCTTTTTGTGGCGCCTGACTCAAATATTAATCGGACTTCTTCCCAAACCTGATCTGTCGGTCGCAAATCCCCATTTTCTTTCATAGATTCCATCAGGTGTAATTTCCCTTTAACCGAAGCAGCAAGACCACGATTCCGCGTCCTTCTATAACAAAATTTTCTTACGGTAACAGCCCCAACTTCAAACAGGGACAATTTCAAGTTGAAATAAAACACAGCACGCTCGCAGACCCGTAACTCCATCAAAAATGAGGCGGCTTTTTGAAGCAAAATATGGCAAAAGGCAAAAGCCGAACCTACTTACTTGACGATATACCCATTCCTTAGGCGAGGTCTTGACATAATTTGGAAGGTTGTTAAAGTGATCGACTATAGGCTAACGTGTCAGGCTAGTCAACTCGGATGAGGTTTTCACCTGTCGGCCAGCTGCTAGTAACATGAACGCGCGATTTATTATTCGCGGCCTTAGAAGCGACGGCTTGGATTTCTAATTTCCTTATTTGGACATAGTTACGGCCCTTTTGCTGGTGGATTGACGTATAGATGGTAGAAGTTGAAAAAGTGGGAGGGAATGATGGTGTGTTCAAGTAGTAGAGAAGCTCTAGCTAGGTGGTGGGGGGGTTCAGGAGGTGAGATAGGGTGTTTAGGGAGGGTAGGAATGTGAGGCATTGTGAGTTGCTGGGAAGGGAGGCTGGAATTTATGTACAAAACCCGGGCTATCTGCACATGCTAATGAGTTACTAGGTTTGGGGGGGTATCGAAAGATGCAAACAGTTGCTACGAAAAGCTGGCAATTTTCTAGGAGCACACGCAAGCTTTTACATATTTATGTTGGAGTTACTGGTATGTTTGATATTTCGGTGGAATTGTAATGTGTTCTAGACGAATTTTAGCTAAAAATTATAAATCCTATTACTATTAACAAATTAGCTGTTAAGAAAAATGTTCAAATTATCGAAGTAGCTGCAAAAATTGCTCAAATAAGTTTTTGTTCACGTACAAACTTGTTCAAACCAAAAGTCACCTCTAGCTGTCCAGTAATAAGTATTCGATGCAAAAAAATTTTAGCCATTTGACGTTTCCGTTTTGCCAAAATGATGTTGAAATCCACAATATATCGAATTTTGCGTAGTATTTCGGCGTTTTCCGGGCGAAATGTAAGTTTTGGTAGAAATTGCGCCATTAAGACATTTCGACATTATGAATTGCGACATTTTTCGAAAATAAGCTAATTTTCCTACTATCGTAATTCCCTCCAGCCACAATACCACAGTGCAACGGGTTGTCAGGCACACAAGGCAAAGAAAGGACAAGCAACAACTCTCTCCTCTCTTTCTCGCTCAAAAGGGATGGATATAATCAAAAAAATCTGGGGCGGTTGCTAATTGCGACAGAATCAGAGCCCACTCACTGCGATGAGATATGCTTGGCTTTGAGGGTGGAGGCACGGGATAGATGGGCCACGAGAAGGGATGAATCCGAGAGACCGGCGCGACTTCGATTCGATTGGCTGAAAGCCCAGACCGGCTTCGTCCCAATTATAAAAAGACGACAGCGGTGGAATATTTATATCAAATGGAGGCACGGGGGGAAGCCGCTTCTTGTGTAAGCAGGGGTGTAGCGTCTAGTGATGTTATTATTTGTGTAAAACCCGGATTCAAATCTATGGATTTGATTAAGCTTCCGGTTCACCTTCTTCAAATCCACTAAATTTTTGTGTGCAAAACACTAAAAAACACTTTTTCTCTGCGTAAAAACATCAGAAATGTACAAATTTCACGCTTAATAAGCCAAATTTAGAATTTTTGGGAAGAAACCGAGCTTGCCAAATTGTCAGATTTTAACCCCGATTCAACTTGAGTAACAACATCACTAGTAGCATCTTCTGGATTTTTCAAATTTCTTCAAAAAAAAGGTTCAAAAACTTTTTTGGTGCTGGCTTGCTCACGCAGTGCGATCCTATATATAAAACATAAAACACAATTTCAGGCTTAGTCTCCAAAATAAGTTTTTACTAATAAATATCGAAATTCCTCCAATCTACAGTACCCAAATGAAAGCTGCGGAACTTTACTCGAGACAGTGCATGCCTACCCCAAAATCTTTATGGCGAACCCGACACAAACCACAATTACAGGTTCTTAATAGTTTTTCACGAACTACCCTTAAGGCTTAGATAGGGTTGCAAGTCAAATGTAGAGGATAACCCACTCAAGGATCCTATTAACAATGTTCCGCTCCGATATACGACCGATATGGCGTAACCGCAAATGGCGATGGGTTGCTTGACTGTAGATATTTGAGGCCATCAGTCTCTTTGAGCAGTCATCACCTTCTATCATTATTTCTAAAAAAACCCAAATTTAGTTGGTATCAATCTGAAACCTTCATTATCTTCAGTTATCGTTGTTTCTTCCGGTTCATCAGCAAATTGTCTTGTGAACGAGTGACGGATTTTTGGCAGTGGAAATTCTCCATGAGCCTAAGAAAAAAATTAAGGTTGGAATGCTATTCTTGCCCACTTTTTTCAGTGACACCATTTGTGGTCGAGTAGGGAATTGATCGAAAACTCGCAATCTCCATGGTAACGTTGTTCGCATTGAGTTCTAAAATTATGAATTTAATGCTTTGAGTTACAAAATCACCTCTTCCCTAGCTTTCAACTGCTTCACTTTTTTCAACTCTTCGTCCATTTCCAAGTTATCGAGAATGACGGCGACGAAAAGGGAGAGCACAATCTATTTGATTTGATCTTATAGAACCTTCGAGCTTTTCTTACCAGCGTCACCAGCAAGTGATACCCAACGAAATATATGGCCACAAATGGCACCATACTTTCATTGGTTGTTCGTAGAATTTCGACGACCACATCCGTCCAACCCTCTTGCGTGATAATTTGGAACATCGTCATAAACGCCTAAACCGAATTGTATGCATTTAAACAAAAAGATACCTGAGGAAAAGTAATAAATTTGTTGAGCCTGGGGACATAGCAAAATAATTGAAGCGAGATTCCGGAGGTGATCACCAGTAACACCATAGTGAAGACGACCAATCCCCCCAACTTTTTGCCTGGTCCAAAGATCTGAATTTTACCTACTTTCGAATTCCATAGATTCAGATACCTTATATACGAAATCCTCCAACATGGGCGAGGCTTTGATCAAACGCACTACTCGAAACACCTGAATTGACCTATTTACAAGAGTTTAAATTTCCCACCTGGAAGTATGTGAAAATATTCTTATCGTAGAAAAACTTGATGCAATTGAGCGTCGAACCGATGCACAATATCACTTCAAATTTGTGCTGGCCTCTTCTGATGAATGGCTTCCAGCCGTAGCCGATCAATTTCAGGAATAATTCAAAGTTGAATAAACCGGTGAAGAAGATCTATACAAAGAAGTTACCATGGAACCTCGAGGTTTCCCACCTCGACATAATAATAAATTTCTTTTCGGATTTTGTCAGATTCATCGTGGTAGTATACAAATGACGCATTGACTAGAGCGTTGATGAGGACAAGGCCCATAGCACCGATTTGGAATGATGTTGAGGTTACCATCTGAATTAAGATTGCGAATTGGACAGTGACCAAGTTACCGTATGAAGTAGCTCTGGGGTATTTCCAGTTCGTGCATATTGATCAACATCCACGAGTTGCCAACCGTCGGTTCCTCTTTCTAGTTTCTAAACAAAAATGTAGGCATGTTTTAAGGTTTTAGTATCTATACCAGGATTTTTAATATTAACTCATCATGATTATTCATCAATATTCCTTACCTGTGTGTAAGTATCCTCCGCTGTCACTTCCCGGCTTTGCCACATTTCACTGAATTGGACACGAATCTCAGCAAAAGTCTCGGTGATAACGGCGATGAAAACGTTCTATAATTCCGTTTCAAGCGTTTTTTAATAAACGCTTACCTTGACCAGCCAAGCCAGGAAGAAAATCAGGGTCACAAAATAGAAAAACGCCACATAACTTGGCAGCGTGTCCAAGCAGTCGTAGAGCACGTAGACCCAACCTTCTTGTGAAGCAGCCATGTAGACGGTGAATAGGGAAGAAGCTATATTTAATTGATGGAAAACGATTTGCATTGACCTACCAAAATCATTAAACATTCCATAAAATCCCTCCGCATGGGCGCTCATATCCAGCTTCATACATTCCATATGTTCCGGGCATTCGTAGCCACCTATCCAAATTTAGTAGCCGTTTTCTATACCTTACCGCCTCCTTTCTTTGAGCACATTGTATCCGGGATGGCCAAATCAGAGATTGTCACATTTTTCGGGTCGGTTCCGGGTAGAACACAATGATAATCCATACGTCCTAGAAATGTGTTTATTGGCTGTCACGACAGTACATAAATCGTATTGCCATTAAAGTATTAAATAAATCGTATGACTTACCGAAAAGCTGTACTCCCATTATAGCGTAGAGTGCCATAAAAAATAGGAAGAAAATGGTGACATTTTGGATTTGTTGTGAGGAACGTCTAAACACTCTATTTTGACCCTAGGGTTCGCTTACTTGATAATTTGCTGGATTCGATTTTTCGGCAATTTAAATTGAATAATTGAACGGATAAAGCGGACGGTGATGAATGGGCGTGGCGATCGGATGACACCATACCACGTTTGGTACTGTAAGAAAAAATTATCATAAAATTTTTATAATTAGTATTACCCGTAATCCGGTCGCCGGAAAATGGATACAAACAATCTGGTATCCATGCAGCCCAAGTGATGCATAGTGCATCAACAGCAAAAACAAATCAAAGCGACACCACCGGTCACGGAGGTAGGCTTTGGGATTCTAAATATGTTTTTGATTTAAATTAAATTTTTCGGTTTAAACTCACATCACAGAGCCCATTATGATGTATATAAACAAGCGCTTCAATCGTGAATATTAGCGTAACGAGACAGTCGGCCGAAAATATGACCCAATTCAACGGGCCCCACAACAACAACGTCTGCGGGGTGTTCATACAAACAGAAACCTGAGTCGGAATTTATATAATTTTATTTAGAATTTTATTTACCATAGATAATAAACAAGAAAATTTAACCAGTTCTTTAAGGAGATCATTCTGAAGAATATCTAAACAATGGAAATAAGAGGTTTTAAAAAAATTAGTTAATCCAAAATTTACATATTAAATAAAAAATACATACCCGCCCGTTTATTAATAGCGCTCGGCTCCAGGTTGATAATCTCCTGTAGTGCAATCACACTTTCTCGCGCCTTTTTCGCCGCTTTCGAGCCGCCCTACAGTAGAAAAAAGCGCAAGATTGGAATGCCTCAAACCACTCCAAAAATACCTGGGTCTGAGATCCATTGGTCGGCTCGCCGCTGCTCTTCCGCCTGGTGAGCATTGTGGCCGAGAGGCCGGCAGCCTTTAGGGCTGAAAATAAGCACATTTTAGGGGCCGCTGTTTTTACTCGCAGCTCTCGTGTTTTTGCGGGACTGGGGGTTAGACACGAGGGAACTTTAGAACTTGATATTTGGAGATTGATTCGATTTGAGCACGAAAAAAGGGGTAAATGTGGGATATCGAGTACGAGACGAAACACGGGGGGTGTTATAAAGTACCATATTTCTTCGAATATAAGCCCAGGGCCAATTTTTGTAATCACTTTTAAAGGGGATTGTATCAAAGAGGTTCTATTAGGCAAGATTCTGTTGGAGTAACGAAATTCGAAGGTAAACCAGACCACTTTGAGCAAATCTTTTGTTTTTAACCTATTAAATAGCCAAATACGCCTTCCAATACCAGGAAAGCATAAACAAAACTCATATTCGGATTTTTAGGTATTTTAAATCACTGACAATTTTTATCAGTCCAAAATTAAGTTTTATATTTTAGAGGAGGGCTATTTTTCGATCACTACGAAATCTGGGCTCACACCAAAGAAAATACGGTCTAAACTAAGAAAAAATTTAGTAAAATTAAAGGTTTTCATATTGAATTCGAGATGGCAGTAGATTTGGCGTGGTGCTGGGTGCTGTGAGGCAGCCAACAACGGAATATCTAAGGCGGTGGCCAGGCTGGGGCCCCCGATTTCCCCCTCCTCCCTCCTCCTTCTCGCGCAGGGCCCACGTCGCATACTCTCTAATTCAATTCAACTTTCTAGCCAACCAGCCGTGCCTTGGCAAATTTAGAAAATAAGAATCAGACGCGACGGCTGGAAGGCGAAAGAGGAGGCGGGGAGGGAAAAATATTCTAAGTTACGGATGGCAGCCTAGTGGGGGCTCATTAGCTGATCGAGACAGACGGGTTTCTGTTTCATTTAATTTAACGAGCCTCATATTGTAAAATTCATCGGGGCTTTAGTGGAGAGCATAATCGAAATTTGCTTGCTATACTTCCAAAATAAATCAAAAAAATATCGGGGGTCCGAATTTAAAAAAAGAATAAATCGATTCCCGCTCTGCAAGGCACATAAATTCGTTGATTTTAACAAAATATCGATTTTTAAAAATATTTGCTTTTGCAAGAAATTATTCAATTATTTTCGAAGTTTATCTTTAAAAATCGATTAATTTGCAAAAAAACACACATTTTGAATTCTGATGATACTTACATGCTAAAACCGCAAGCATTTTGAAAATTGAACAGGAAAAAAAACATTAAATATATCTCGAATAAACCGTTTAATTTGATAGTTACATGAAAGTAATGCATCCGGCAAAAGTTGCGGTGTCACATATGAAATTGAGCCACCACCGGTAAAGCGATCCCACCCAGCCAACCCATTACCGCCTCAAAAATAATGAGCACCACCCATCCCCCCTGGCTTCGAGGGAAATGTTGCGACTCTAAAGTTGCCACTTAGCACATCCGGTGTGCATCCCCCCACCCTTCCTTTACCCCAATACCCTCCTTCTCCACCAGCATTAATTAAAGGGAATTGCACAAACATTGCCATTCTCTCTGCCATACTCTATTTCTCCGTTTCTCTCTACTATATCACATTCTCCTTAAAGAGTCACTCTTGCCTGGAGAAGGGTCTTTTCCCCCCTTGGGGATCGAGCTCCGTAACCGGATACGTGGGTATGGCCAAAAAGGGGGGCACATGGAAGGCTACGTCGTGTCAATGGCACACATGCACACCTTCACACCCACAAAAGGGCATCAATGCCTTTTACATTTGCAAATTGGTTGTAGCCTATCTGGGAAATCACAGTTTGTGAATGTAAAAATTGAAAAATGAATTTTGAGGCACTTGAAAAAGGTAACAAAACCAAGATCTTGCAAAAACTAAATTTTAGAAAATCAGTAAAAAGTGTAGGCTATTATTGAAGTTTTTACGCATTTAACGCATGAAAAAATTTCAGTATGCGACGAAGAATGTCATTTTCGAAATAATATGTTATTGAAAAGCAGCATGATCAAAGGTTTTTGGTTAAATAAAAAGGTAATTTTTATTTGATTTCCCAACTTCGTTCGAACGCCAGAAGTCTTTCATCCTTATACGGTAGCTCTATAGCGCCGTATAACAATTCAAAAAAATTATTTGGAAAAATCATGTACCTGATTTCCCAGCCAAATTATAAAAGGATGCAAAAAAATAACTCACGCGCCAAGATCTCAAATAACGTCGGGTTTTCCTGCCAGTTTGGGTCCATGAGCGAAATTGTTTCATGCGGCTTCCCCCCGGTGGGGGCACCGGATGAAATTACAGAAAATGAGGAGCCGACGCCTTTTGGGGGGCAATGCGTGGGGAGGCCGATGAAGGGGAGGAGGAGATGCTGATGGAGGTGATGATGATGGGCCCCACGGATTCGCAACTTTTAGATTGCCTTCAAACGGATCCAGCCCGGCAGTGAGCCCCCCAAAATGGCGTCAAGCTCAAAAAAATGGCAGCCCTGCTATTGTGGCCGGGAGGATGGATAGAATATGGGTGGTTGCCCTCCCTGAATTCCCTGAACGGATCTCAACCAGCCATCGGGAAAAGAGGGCAGTCCCTTAACGTTAATTCGGCTTAATTGAGGCCGTGCGGGGAAAGACGGAATTTTTTGAGAAATCCGGGCCTAACAGGTGGAATTTTTGCGGGCAGCTGTTTTTGGCGTCAAGAGGTATTCCGGTTGCCGGGGGCCTTAAAGTTTTGGATAGAACCATTTATAAAAAAAAATAAGAATTAAAAAATAGCTTTTTTTTTGTTATGCGGGTTTAAATGGGGCTTCTGTCAGCCTTTTTCTTTCAAGTTTAAGAAAGTATATAGGGTCGTTACTAGGTCTTGAAATGAGAAAAAGCTTCCGAAAATTAGCACAACCCAACTTTCATATTGAAATTCAGTTTTTCTCGCAGAAGATAGAGCGGCAACCAGAAGTAGATCTAGCTCACATAAGCAGCTGGTAGATACAAGAAGTCACGGAGTTCAACCTCGCTAAACCCTCCGTTCCTGCTAAACCACAACTGTGCCATAAATGCCGTCACGACCCCTACGGTATACAGTCGAGATTAAACGCACTTGACTGAGAGAAAAACAAAACTGAGCCATCTAACAACCTGAAAAATCATAAACCCTACTTTCGAATCCTACTTCAATAACTCCCTCCGACTCTGGTTGGGCAATAAACGTATTGGCGAACAAAAACCGGGTGGAGAACGAGGCGGGGGTTGCGGGGAGGACGAGGAGGAGAAGGAGGCCAGGGTCTCCGGCTCGCCGCGGGGCTTTTGGTGGAGAAGAAATGAGGCTGGGCCGAACAATTGAGATCTTCCGGAATGGGTTATCCAGCGCTTGAGAGCGCTTGAGGGAATTTCGGACCCTATTGATCAACCGGGTGAGCTGTGTTTCTACCCCCAAGATGCTACTTCAGTTTTTTCGGAAATAATGGTGGTTCTAGATATAGTGGGGGTAAAGAAATTAACGAAGCAGAAAAATGCAAAAGTGGTAAATTTATTAAGGTATATGGAAGTAAAGCCTGTCGCATTTTTTCAAAGCCATTTTTTAATGACCTGAATTTAAAATAAATTATTTAGGAAAAATAATAGGAAGCAAGTAAACTTAAGTGTAGTATTTATACCAATTCCACCGAGACAACTAAAAAAATCAAACGCTAAACATCATTAGCCAAAAACCCAAACCTCAAAAACACAAAATTCACAAAACCAAACAAACAATTACTCGACAAATTGGTCACGTTACAATCCCCCCGTTTCCCCCAACACTTACTATTCTGAGGGCTCTTTCTGAAGCTCTTCCGACTAAACGTCGCCTCCAGATGCGAATCCGGCTCCAGTTGACTTTTCATCTCAGCATCTGGACCCAATCAAATGGAATATTTGGCGCCAGCTGAGTGAAGACTCCACAGCCTCTAATAGCCAAATGTGTGTGTCTGTCGGGTTAGAATGGGCCTCGAGCCAATGTGCCCCAGGGGCGGCGGGAAAGTGCCTCGAAAAAGTGTGTGCAAATGGCGTTCAGATGGCCGATGATGAGGGATGCCCCTCTTCTTCTTTCCTACGGGCACCCCCCACCTTCCCTTTGCCTTCGCTTTTCTGTTTTTTTAGGTTTTCTTCCCTTTTTCTCACGTCATCCCAGTTGGGGGAGATGCACCTTTCGCCCCTGCTGCTTCTGGAGGGGGCTTATCATAAAGCAACTTATGCCGGGTTGGCCCTTCACATTCCCGTAGCAAAAAATATGAATTTTCAGCGGGGGCATTGGATTGCTAGGCTCAAAAAGCATAGAGTAAAAAAGTAGCGAGGCAGGTAAGTGAAGTAAAATCCAGGGCGGTTCTCTCAAAATATACGCTATAAATCTCGACTAGCAGAATCTCGTGCACAAAGTTTTTATCAATCAAATTAGCATACTATTAAAATAGAAAAAAACACAACCTAAACGACCGGAATCTCTCCGAAAAAAGGATAAGGGGTTCTTTCGCATTTTCGGGGGATCTGATTTTTGGTCTACGATAGTAAGCATTTTTAGTGAAATGAGGCTATATTTGACGTGGAAAACTATATTTAAAAACCCTCTAAATTTTTGAACATTTGCAGGTTTGATGGAAAATCGGACTCTTTTGGTCGACAAACCTATACTTTTGTATTTTGATTTTTATTTGGGAACATTGGTGCTTAAGAACAGTCAAAAACGGTTTGAAACACTCCTATTAGCAAAATTCTAGATTTTCAAAAAAGTTCGTTTTCCCTGAAACCCGCTCCCCGAGAATACAAAAAACCGAAAATAGAAAAATTAACGGATCAAATTCCCAAGCAACCGGCAGATCAAATTAAATTAAAATTATGTAAATCGGTGAGATAAGGCAACCCTCATATATCTATATTATTTTTATATTAACATTAAAAATACCGGTTCATGAATGCTCTCACGGGCTATTGCCCAATTAGAGCGAAAACACCCTCACCCACCCACACACAAAAAATGATGAAGCAAACGTTTTACGGCCTCTGGCAGCG